TTATTATTGTTTTTTTTTTCAGTAATAATAATGACGTAATGACGTAACTTAAAATAAAAAAAAAGTACTTGTAAAATAATGATTCAATTACTAAAAAATAGTATATTATGCAATGATCATGTAATGATAGCCATTAATATACGAGCATGTTGTAGGATACGAAACGAGCCGCAGGCGAGTTTCATATATAACATGCGAGTGTACTAATGGCCATTACATGAGAGTTGCATACACTATTTTTTCTACTGCCATTGATAATTAGATATGTCAACATTATGCTTAACTTTGAAATAGAGATTTTATAATTGAGTAATGCGTCCATACAGTTGAAGGTTTCATTTTTCGTTGTAATTCTTCAAAATATACTATCAAAACATTTTCTGAGAAAGACGATGTTCTTGGTGTTTCCAATCCATAAATTGTCCATATAATTTTTCGTAAATTTTCTTGGACTTGTCCGGTAGTATATTATTACCTGCATTTGTCGCCCTTTCTGTAATTTCTGGAGGTGTTAGTGAAAATTCTTCGTTATCACTCAATATTTCCATAATAATGCCTTATCCCAAACATTAGGTAACTTTTAATAACAATTCGAAGTATTTTTTTCATAAAATTATTGTTTTCCGCTAAATTACCATGGAAAAGCTATAAACAGAGTGCTGTCAACATTCGAAAAAAAAATAATTCAAAATTTCTTTACTGGTGGCGCCATCTACTGACGATGTATAATAATGAAAAAAGTAAAAATTCTTCCTTATCACTCATTATTTCCATAATAATTATTCTTTGTCCCAAACTTTAGGTAACTTTTAAACAATTCGAAGTCTTTTTTATAGTTATCAAAATAATTGTTTTACGCAAAATTACCGTTAAAAATGTTTAATATCTTAACTGGTGGTGCCATCTATCGACATTGTATAATATTAAAAATCTGTATTATAATGAAAATCTGTATCATAATGAAGTTCATTACGATACAGATTTTAATCGTTTAATAGCGTGTTATGAAATGTCAGTAGAAAAATATATATTATGTGTTAAATAGGTTACATATAATGGGTGTTATCAGTTCCAATGTCTCCGATGGTTGCAAGGATTGCGAAATCTGTGATTGTTTTATTGTTTTATTTTCTACTTTTAACAGCTGTATGCAACATCTTCTTTTACATTAAAAGCGCTGAATGTAAAAATTTATATTATTGGCACTTTCCATAAGAACTTAATGTGTTGGCGAGAGAGAATAGAGTTTTGGTAGGAAATTACTAAAAAGTAAAAAAAAAAAAAAATTTAGAATAAATGCGATACATCATAGGTTTTGGGACATCAAAAGCTCCTAAAATCTGAAATAAAAAATCCAGGGTCGTATTTTCGGTCGTATTTAAAAAAATAAAGTTGATGATGGTGGCCAAAGACGACACGTCAGATTTGAACTTTGATGGAAGCATCTTTTAGAGGAGAAAAAATGGTAACAATGAAGTGACATTTATTTTGCTATATATCATTTCAAATAGAGTTAGAAAAAAATAAAAACGATTTCAGCAAAATTCGGTTTTTTATAGATATCTTCGGAATCATTCGGAATTTCCGAAATATCAAAACACGACTTCGAGTGCATCCTTATGTGGGACATCCTGTAGATGAAAAAGTTGACTGTTGTCACGTGTCACTTTCATACAAAAAGAGGTCACTGAGATCAACTTTGAAGTAAAAAATGTCGCGAGATTACCATACCAGATCGAACAGATACAAGTCTGGAAATGACAGATCCGACAAATAATGAGCATAGAACAGTACAAGAAGACAATGAATAAATAAATACAGTCATTACAAGAAAATTGTACTTGGGAGGTTAAGAAGTTACCATCAGGAAAGAAGGCAATATTATGTAAGTGGATGTATGAAGTGAGGACCAATCCAGATGGGTCCATTGACAGGTACAAAGTTCGGCTAGTTATCGGTTATTCACAAAGAAAAGGTAAAGATTACGACCAAACTTATATTCCTGTAGCCAAGCGAGGAACAATTAGGACACTGCTCAGTATTGCTGCTAGCAAGAATATGACACTCACTCAGTTCGACGTATGTACTGCCTTTCTCTATGGAAAACTAAATGAATAAGTCTATAATAATATGAGGAAAATCGAACCAGTATATTTATAGTTGCTCAAAGTACATTGGTTTGATTTTTCTGATTCTTCGACGAGCAACACAGCCACTCAGTCGACTTTAAGTCTATATAAAGCAACCAGAGGGGTATGAAGATGGAATTAACATGGTCTGGTCTGTGAACTTCAGCACAGTCTTTATATGGATCAAAACAAGCACCTAGATGTTGGAGTCAGAGATTTACCGATTACATAAAAGTTTTTGGTTTTAGATCAGATATCAACCCTTGTTTCTTCATAAAGAAAGTTTAAAGAAGACATACTTTTACTAGCATAATATGTAGATGATGGACTCCTGGAGTCAACCAACAACAAATTAAAGAATTTCTTCTTAGAAACTTTACAAATAGAATTTCAAATTACCATTGAAACGCTGGTTTGATGAAATTCTAGACCCAAAGTCAATTTCAGTGCTAAAAGTTGACAACGAAGCTGCAATTAAATTTACCCAGAATCCTAAGTTCCATCGAAGAACCAAACACATTCAGATCAGGCACTTCTTTGTCCGTGAGCTGGTGTTAGATGACCGAATAAAAGTTGAAAAAGGGCCATCTGAAAATCAATTTGCGGATCTCATGACCATTGTTTAAGCTAAGACTTTTAAGAGGCACAATGGGATTGACCAAAATTTTCTAATGAGGGAGGATGTTGAAACTAAAAGATAGAACGCATTGTTTGATTTACTGCCGCTCAACCATTCACTTACTCCCGAGCTTCGTTTAGCGAAAAAATACCGTGTTACATACGGAGTAGAAGCACTTCAGCAGTCTTGCAAGCCTTACTACGTTCGGCTCGTAAACCTACCGCTTCATCACAAAAAAGTATAGTTTCTACTCCTAATACAACAATATATTCCACCATGATTAAAAATTATTGGTAAATATGGTAATAATAGTATACTTATTCGGACCAAAATGGTCTTTTTTCACAAAATTTAAACCCTAGGGTTCGAAGGACAAAAGATATAGCATTCTTTATTTTTCCATTCGTTTTAGAGTCGTTCTTTCATCCGAAAACAATTCCTTTTTTTTTTTAAGGCCGCCATTTCGAATCCACAAGGTCAAAGGTCAGTGTGCTTCGGGTCAAACCGACTCTATACTACCGCTTCTACTATTTGAATAGAATTCTCTGGAAAATTTCTCTACGGTATTAGTTAATCCTTGGTTGTCTTGGTAGATTTCTGGAACTGGAGAGTTGCTTCTTCACACTCGCGTGCAGCCAAGTAACTAGTCACATGGTGACTACAACTACGATACGACCAACACCAAGCTGTATAATAAGAACTTACGTCAGAGCGTACGGATAAGCATCGTTCATGCAATGATGATGTCTTCGCCTAACTTCTCGTCTCGCCTAACAAGTACAGGGAAGGTTTACGCTGAAATATTCACCACCAGGGTTTTACATTACATCAAGCATCTCGGATCTGCCAGAATTATTAAAGGAACATTTAGAATTGAAATTGAGAACGAAAAATCAAAAATCGAAAACAATGCAGCCGAAGCTATCAACATCACCAATCAGTTTGACGACCTCTGCAACAAAACAACTATGTTATCAAATGAAACACATATATCACTAACAAACTACCTTTAAGAAAAATTGTAATGTGAAATATTTTTTTCCAAAAATTTGCAGGATCAGAAATTAAATACATATTATGTATTTCTCAGACCTGGCCCCAAACTCAGATAACGCTTTGTATAGTATAGGATTGTTTCTTGGAAGGTAGCTTTGACGTCAAACTGCAAAAAAAAACGTGTGTGAGCCTGTCAAATATTTTCATTTATCGGGTGGTTTTAATTAGCCTCTGACCAGTGGCATCTCGCAAATTATGAAAGATTCATTTGATCCTATAAATATAGAAACATATTAGTTATCCCTTGGTTGTCTTGGTAGATTTCTCTTTGTGTCTCTCAATTTTTTAATTTTTGCACGCCCTTTAGTGTTGAACGTTCTCAGGATTTTCATGTTTTTCTCTATTGTTATTACGTAAACAGGGTGATTCCAGTTGGTCCACCTCTTCATAATCAGGGTTACTTGTAGAGGGGTAAACTTGAATTTTCCTGGATGCTGTATCGACTGGATATCTCAATAACCAGCTATATTTGACATACTTTCGTTTTCGTTAGTAAATTTCCTAGCTGATTCTGAATCAGTTTGGTGGCGCCCCAGACAAAGCTGCGCACACTGAACTGATGTTTTTCAATATTATTTTTCCATTGAAAGTAAAATACTGTTTCTCACTCCCTGTTTGGTAAGTACCTACTGCATTATGACATTGATTTGGTGAAGGTAATAATGATAAGCTATTTTCAATACATTTTACCTATGTGGCTTCAACTATAAAATCAAATATTCATATTTAAAAGGCTGTCATAAATATAGTATTATGGATGTCGATTTTCTAAGTCAAAGTGTCTTTTTATTTGCTGCAAAATAGGATAATAGAGCTTTCCAATCAGTAAAACTAAACGGTTTTTTCACAAAGAGCCCATAAGACTCATCTAGGCCAAAACTGTAAAACAGTAGAAAGACTATTGAAATTGAAAAAGGCATAAAGTTAACGCTAGTACCTACTTTTTGTGTTAACAAAACTCAAATAAATAATATTTCTCAAGAAAAATAAATAGTATGTAATTATGGGAACTTGCTACACGCCGCAACAGAAAATCAAAACAAAAAGGTGGTCGTCCTTTGACTGGCCAGTACTCAGCCTTGAGGAACCATGCGGTACCCGCGAAGAAAGCGCAAGTGTATTATTGGTTACCTTCAGTCGCGTTTTGGTACCATTTAGCATAAGGTGTTGATACGTTTCCGAGATAATATGCGGTAGCGGGTCGTACCTATATTGTATTTATTTTCTTTAATTTTATTTTGCCGGTACAAGAAATTTGTTTTTGTGTTTTTTAAAATAATTTATATTTGTAATAATTTATGTAGACATTTTGTTGAATTTCTGTTGATTGTTTTTGAGGTTAGTAACTTTTTTTAAATTTATTTTATTTAAAAAAAAAAAAGTCATTGAAGTAGGTACCACTTTTAAAACATTGATTCAAAAATATGTTTTAAAAAAATGCTGTTTGTTCGACTGTTTGTTACAATATACGTCAGAAAAAAATGCTAAAAATTGGTTGCCCTTATAAAGTCATAACTATTAGGGAGGGATTCTTATGAAAGATAAAATTATTCAGTCATCATTTCAAAATTTTCGTCCTTAAAATATGTCGGTATTTTCTTATGATTTTTTTCCTGTTCCGTCAGAATTTTTATTCATTATTTTTATTCTTTGATGTCCCTATTCTCTTCCTGATTGTTCCAGACTGGTTCATCGTTCATCTATTTCCATTTCTTCAAGATCAGTAAGGCTGTAGGATTTCAACTACAACTCTCTGCATTGTTGAATTTTGTTCGGTTAAGTTTTTTTCCTGCACAAACAACATCATTTCACATCCAAATGGTGTAATTCTCGGGGATTGTTCACAAGTGTGTCTTCTACACCTTCAATAGGCTAGCGAACAGTTGTTTTGGCGGTTAGTTTTCTGAACTGAAAACAAAATTGATATTTTTTGATTATGTCAATTAACAACTGATTTTTTCCTTTCTATAGGTGGCATTTACTTTGATTTAATATCAGTGTTTTCATCCATTTCTCTATTATAATTTTTGATTTTTGTTCAGATATACTTTCAAACATTTCTTGTTCTCTTTATTCTGTAATTTTATAGCATTCCATAAAGTATGACATTGAATAAAGGATAGTTTAATGATTGACTTAATTGGATGCAAACCTATTGAAAGCTAAAAAAAAGCGACCACAAATATATACATAACAGCAATCAAATTACCCAAGACCAACTTCTTTTTTTTTTTTCAAATAGAAGCTATTAAAAATACAATTTGAAAAAAAAAATATTGCTAAATAATTAGCCTAAACCTATAATAAACTAAATGAATGACTCAGCGCCAAGTTAACATAAAAGTACCTATACGTAAATCAAGTTAATTAAATTTCACGCACAAATTTTTTTAACATCAACTTGAGAATAGATTCGCAGAAAAAAAACTGTTTGTGGTGTAGACAGTTACATTTTGATTGACTTTCGCCGGTCAATCAAAATGTAACAGAGTTTTTTTCTTTTGTCTGCCAAAATAAATTAGAAGAAAGTGCGTGGTCCTTGGCAAACTGGTAACATAACTTTGATATTCGCAATACATTTTCAATAAATCCATCTGCCACTCCCCACGAGTAAAAAAATAATGTCTGGTTAATAATCAGAACAATATATTAAAGTCATTGACAATCACTAGACAATCAATTATATTATTAGAATAACTGTATATGATTAATTAACAATAAAATGAAAAGTGTATTTAAAATAATAGGTAAGTGCATATTTTTATTTGCATGATTTTAAATTTCCAGAAATCAAAAAAATTGTTACCTTATAAAATCTTTTAAAAATATTACCTTGAAGGAGACATTGACCTTGTCTAAAATTAAAGCTTTTAGGAAAACCCGAATTATAAAAATAATGAACTTGAATCCAAAAAACATAAAACAAGCTGTCTAAATGACCTTTCGAACTCTATAAAAAACCTAAATAGTTTAGAAAAATCATACAACAGAATACGGGAGGAACTGGTGGAAAAGGACGAACAAATTCAATATATAACTGAAAAATATGACAACATGGAACAAGTGTGCGCAAAACTAAACAAAAAATTAACTGAAAAGGACAACTACATTCTGCGACTGCAAAGAGGCTCAAAAAGCTACCAAGATATGGCTGTCGAAGCGGAAGAAAAACTTCAACAGAAACTAGAATTTCAGGTTAAAATAATAGAAAATTTAAATAAAGAAATAAAGAAACACAAAGACGAACAGTTGAGTGAGGAGCAAGAAAATAACAGACTAGAATTGGAATTTAAAGACCTAAAACTTAAATTACATGAAACTGAAGAGTTAAACAAGAACATGATTGTATCAATACAAGCTTTGGAAATTGAAATGGAAACCCTAATGAGCGAACTTAAAACTGGTAAAATTGAACAATTTGATTTAAAGAATAATCTTGAGGAACATAGAGACAAATTAAAGGTGCTACAGCAAGAAAATCAACAGCTAAACAAAAAACTAGAAGAGGCATCTCTGCGCGAATGCACAATTAAAAACAGTTTCAATGAGTCACCAGAAGATACAAAGCACCATAATGTTATAATCTTGGGTGATAGCACGGTTGTAAACCTTCATAAATATCTAAAAATTCAATCCATGCAGAACTACAACGTGATGACTCTTGTCAAACATAATGGTACACTAGAAAACATAGTCCAGGATATTGACAAGTTTACACTGAATTTTACAAAGCAGGACTTTGTGGTGATATCGGGTGGTTTACAAAACGCTTGTCGTGGAGGACAAATAGATGCCAAAGCCATTGAAATGTTGTCATTGGTAGGTCAGCGTACAAACTTAATTATGGTATCAGCGCCGCTCTGGGGAAACCGTAGAATATTAAACAAATTTATTGATAAATTTAATGTAACAATCTTTGAAAAATTACGTAACTGCTTTGCAAAATATTTAAATATTAATTCTTTTTTAAACTCTATGTACTTCATCTCTAATAAATACTTAGTATTGAGAAATATAGGTAAGGTTAAGTTAGCTGAACAATTGGATAACCTTATAGTTAATTTGGGTAGGAATAATGAGAGAACAGTCCATCACATTTTTTACATTAAAAAGCAACGACGTTAGTAAACATGCTAAAGAATCAGAACTCACATTCTTTCTACTTAATATACAGTCGTTACGTAATAAGACGGACGAAATTCTTATTTTACTTGAAAATAACAACTTTCCATCATTTGTTCTTCTAACTGAGCACTGGCTGTTTGAGGACGAAATGTGCTGTATTCCAGACTATGAGGTCATATCAAAATACTCTAGAAAAAACGGATATGGGGGGACACTTATATTAGGGCATAACAATGTTCTTTCTAACTACGAAATTGCTAATATAGACTTTTATAATAGTTTTATCTTAGAGAAACAGTTTGAATTTTCCATCATACATGTTAAAAAGTTAAATGTTTACGTAATGTGTATATATAGGTCCCCATCAGGAATAACTAATGTATTTCTAGATTGTCTTGAAGGTATTTTAAACAGGTTTCCCAATAACGCCAAAATTGTCATCGCGGGAGACTTAAACATTGATTATAAAGACCAAAATTCATCAGACACGAAACTACTGGTCAATTTATTAAATTCGTTTAATTTAACCGTCTTTGTGAATGAACCAACTAGAATCACGCAACACTCTTCTAAAATTATAGATTATTTTTGTAGCAATTTTGAGTGTGATAACCTTAGCTGTAGCGTTATACCTTCAGGACTTTCAGATCACGAAGCTTTGGTTGCTAAACTAATTATTTCTTGTGATAAACCCAAAAAAGAGCAAGTAAAACGTAGAGTTTATAGTAGTAAAAATTACAATAGCTTTAAAATTTCAGCCAACCAACAAAACTGGTATGAATGCCTAACAGCAGCAGATCCAATTCAGTCATTTCAAACAAAAATAAAAACGATATTTAATAAAACCTTTCCTCTTCGTAAAATTAAAGTTAAAAATAAGAAGAAACTATGGATAACCAAAGGTATAAAAACTTCAGCGCGCAATCTAAGATCTCTCCACACAATACGTAAGTTTACCACTTGTCAAAATATTATTGCACACTATAATAAGTACCGTACAATTTACAGAAGCGTATTAAAAAGGGCAAAAGAAATTTATTATAAAAAAAGAATTAATGATGCGGATAACAAGGGCAGAGAGTATTGGAACATTATAAATGAATTCAGAAACGTTGAGCAAAAACATAAGAATAAGCTTAATATTAATCCGAGTGATCTTAACACATTTTACACTTCCATTGCTGCAACATTAACAAGAAATCTAAACTCCCATATTGATCCCTTATCATATTTGGAACCTGCTCAACACACGGAAACATTTAAATTTCAAAATACCGATGGTAATAAAATTAAACACTTACTAAAGACCATAAAAAAACAAAAATCATCTGGTACAGATAATATCTCATCAAAACTCCTACAAAATTTACCAGACAATGCCATTGACGTTCTAGCCTTAGGCATTAATAGGTCATTTAGCACTGGAATATTTCCTCCATGCCTTAAAACGGCCATGATAATACCCATTTTTAAGGGAGGCGATAACACCGACCCGTCAAACTACAGGCCTATTTCGCTGTTGAGTACGCTGTCTAAGTTAATGGAAAAAATAGTAAAAAAACAACTTTTAGAATATTTAAACACGCACAATATAATTAATGGGAATCAGTTCGGATTTCAAAGTGCTAAAAGCACTAACGATGCTGTCTTCTCCTTTTTAGAGAGACTTTACCTTAGCCTTAATGATCAGGAGGTTGCTGCGGCGGTGTTCTGCGATCTTTCAAAAGCCTTTGATTGTGTTGATCAAGAGATACTACTGCGGAAGCTAGATCATTATGGTATTCGCGATACGCCATTATTTTGGTTTTCATCTTTACTCTCAGGGAGAGATCAGTTCGTTGGTGTTGGGGAGAGTGCATCAGGGATTCAGACGATCAGTCGGGGGGTTCCTCAGGGCTCTGTCCTAGGACCGGTTCTGTTCCTATTGTACATCAACGACCTCTTATCCTTGCCAATCTCGGCGGCGGTTACTGCTTTTGCTGACGATGCAAATGTTTTGTGGAGTGCAAAGTCTTTAATCAGTTTCTGTGCCACCATAGAAAAAGATCTCTCTTTAATAAGTCAATGGTGTGAAGCAAACAAACTCTGTTTTAATATAAAAAAAACAAACATCCTTACTTTTAAATGTGCTTTGACTGACATAAAACTAAGAGACGAGACCATTGAAAACAAATCAACAATAAAATTCTTAGGCATTCACATTGATACACATC